CGCCGTACCTGTAACACCAAGAAGGCGCCGCTTATGGCGGCCATCGCACCAATTTGAAATTCCGACGACAGAACGAGAGAGCGACCCTCCGCCCCGTTACATGCGACTTTACACGATATCCGCCCAAGGGGCAACCTCACCGATAGCCTGATCCTCCGATGATCCTCCTCTCGGGGCCTCTCGCTCGTCTTTCTCCAAAACCTAGTCGGGCCGGGACGTCTTTTCGCTAGCGCAGCTCGAAACGGAAGAGGACGAGCAGGATCGCGATCGATGCGCGATCAATCCGCGAGCTTTCCCCCCTATGGGGTTGCGCAGCCGCGTCGCGCGTTGCCGCGACCAATTAGCGGGCTAGCGGTCCTTCACGCGCAAGGACCTTCACGTGCGTGGGGAGATGCTACGGGGCGCCTTGTAGCCCCGAGAATTTTCCCGGGTGGGCCTCCCTCGCTGGCCGCCCCGGTCGTCCGCGCCGATGTCGTGGCATCGCCTTCACGACATCTTCTGCGGCTCGCCGGACGTTATATGGCTTGCTGGAATGCTCGGGATCCTTTTCTGCTCGTCATGTCCCTCGCATCATCCTGGGGCTCGGGCGCCGCAAAATCCTTTTCTCCGCCTGTCTCCGGCCCGCGGGATTCTTCCGTGGTTGTCTTCCCTTCGATGGTTTCTTCGCTCGGCGAGGTTTTCGTAATGGTTACATACGGAATAAATTCGCCGGGGACTAGAAAAAAATTAACTTAACGCTAGTATACCGCCCCCTGGAGATTTCGCCCGCTCGCGTGTCCCGGCTCGGGTCAGGCGCGAATCCGCGCTTTGTGACGGCGAAGGGTCGCTGCGAAGCTGCAGCGGAACTGCAATGTCACAGTATATATTAGGGACTGTGTGCTGGCTCGCTATCCGCTGCATGCCAAGCAGCACGCTTACCGGGCTGACCACTCGAGTATATCAGCCCTCCACTCGGTTGTCTACAGTATTGAACGATAACTCCAGGATGGGGGCTTTTTGGTAGGCACCTTCCTAGACATTGAGGGGGCCTTGAACAACGCTCCACATGAGATGGTTTGTGCCGAGGCAGCAAGGCGGGGAGTACCGGTGAAACTTGTTGAATGGATCCGGGGAATGCTTGGACGCCAAGTGATGACATCGCTAGGTGAGTGTCGAAGGATAGGGATAGAGATAGGGATAGGATAGGGTGGGTAGAGGCTATCTCCAAGGGGGAGTCCTCTCACCACTCTTGTGGTGCCTAGTAGCGGATAGGCTACTTGAAGAGCTTAATGACAAGGGCTTCAAGACAATCGGATGATGACTTGGCGATCCTGATAGGAGGCTCTTTCCTGGAAACGCTCTTGGAGCTCACACAAGGGGCTCTAGGGGTGGTGGAGGAATGGTGTGAGAGGACAGGTCTATCGGTGAACCCGAGTAAGACAAGTCTGGTGATCTTTACATACAAGTACAAAATAGGCCCCGTGGAGGGGCTCGTATTGAAGGGAGTCAGACTGACTCCTGGAATGTCGGTCAAGTATCTGGGAATTGTCCTGGATAAAAGATTGAACTGAAAGCTGCACCTGGAATCAGTATGTAAGAAAGCCAGCACATACTTTTGGATGTGCAGAAGAACCTTTGGGCAAACTTGGGGATTGCAGCCAGACAGAGTATTTTGGCTATACTCCGCGGTGCTCCGACCAAGATTGCTCTATGCTGCGGTGGTCTGGTGGCCAAGGACACAGCAAACCGAGGCCCGCGCATCACTGGAGCGCGTCAGGCCTCTCTTCTTAAGGGGGGCTTTTAGTGCAATGAGGACAACGCCACTGGCGGCAATGGGAGTGCTGCTCGGCATAGAACCACTCCATCTCGCGATAGTGGCGGCAGCAGCGGTCACTGCGTATAGGTTGAAATGCGAGGGAAAATGGATGAGCGGTGTGACTCACACCTGGTTACTGCGGGAGCTCCAAATGGAAACCATGTTTGACATGAGGCAGGACAGAATGCCAATAAGGCGCGACAGATCTTACAAGATCTATATTCCTAGTCGCGAAGACTGGAAGAGGCATGAAGTGCCCGCTATTAGGAATGGGGACGTCTGGTATACGGATGGCTCCAAGACTGATGAGGACGCCAGTGCCAGGATCTACGGATGCCGTAGTGGAGTCAGGGAGGCTTTCCCTCTTGGAGAGTTCACCACTGTATTCCAATCGGAGGTGGTAGCAATCATGGGCTGTGCTCATACGCTAACCGCATCAGAAGAGACGGGCAGAAGCATCAGGATATGCTCCGATAGCAAGGCGGCTCAGGGGGCGCTGAGGGTATGCGTCTTTGACTCGTGGCTGGTCTTGGAGTGCAAATGTGCTCTGAACAGACTGTTCACGGGCAACGATGGTGCTCTTGTATGGGTCCCGGGACACTCGGGAATCAAAAGTAATGAGATTGCTGATGAGCTGGCAAGAAGTGGCTCATCAGCCAGGCTGGTGGGACCGGAACCGGCTCTAGGTTTGTCCAGCTGCATCTGCAGGGCAAAAATAAAGGGCTGGTTATGGGACCATCATATCAACTATTGGAAGGAAGAGATAAGAATCAAATGCAAGCAGGCGAGAGCCCTGCTGGGAGAGACGCCCAGTAGGAACCTTGCCAGGAGCATTAGGGCCTTGAGGAGAGGGGAAGCCAGGCTGACGGTGCAGATCTACACGGGCCATGGCTTCACTAATTACCACATGCATAAGCTGGGGCACAGTGATAACCCGGAAGTGCAGGAAGTGCGAACACGAGGAAGAAACTTCTCTCCACGTGTTATGTGAATGCCCAGCGTATGCAAGACAAAGGCGGCTTCTTTTGGACTCGGTATTTCTCGAGCCCGAGCAGGTATGTCTCTCCAGGTTAGGGACCTCCTCCGTTTCTGGAGGAAGACAGGTCTGATCTGGAGATAGTCGGCCGGGAAGACACAATGGACCTAGTCTGCGTGTCGTTGGCAGGCCTCAACTGGTGGCTGCCTCCCGAGCTTATTATTATTATTACATTAAAATAAAGCAAATAAAATAGACGAATTCGAAATTGAACCACCGACGATTCGAAATTTCGAACTTATTCGATTTCAAATTTCTCATATTTGAAAACGAATCTAATCAAATTCATTACAATTCGATTCGATTCGAATTCGAACTGATTCGCACATCTCTATTATGATTGAATACTGATAAATACTGTGCGTAACAGCCATCGCGCGAGTCCTTTGGTGCGGTGCGGTGAGACGTGTGAGCGGCGATGCCGAGCGCTAAGCAACGGCGCGCTTCCCCTCTTGCCTCTCCTGCCGCCGCATCCATCGTTTGTCAAAGTGGGCCGGGCTATACCTCGAGCGACCGGAGCCGTTTCTATTCTTTCTATAGGCGCGCTCTCATTAGTACAATTTCAAACTTTAATATCTCGATTATTATTACGGATATCGCTAAACGGTAAAGGACTTTTATGTTTATTTCGATCCCATCTACCTTCCTATGGGAGATTGTAAGAGTGGGGCTGGACACCCTGTATAAAACGTTTCTCATTGTACAACGGTTTTCCTGAAAAACATAAATAAACATACACATTTCATTGTAATACAAATACTGTCGTGTAGATTCATTTCTTGACAGTTAATCCTTTAAAATGATCAATTAATAATAAAATCATTTCTACTGAAACAGTGAATTGCTTATCACTTCCTATTGTTTTCATTATCTTATTCCTCGAATAAATAATATAATTTCAATTTTTTTTGTAGCTTTATGAAACTTCGGGCATAATGCGAATAAGTATACCTT